CATACACATGCACATGCACACTCATACACATGCACATGCACATGCACACTCATACACATGCACATGCACACTCATACACATGCACATGCACACTCACACACATGCACATGCACACTCATACACATGCACATGCCACAACACATGACATGCACACCATACACATGCACATCACCATCAGCACTTGCACATGTACACCACACCACATGCACATGTACACTCACACACATGCACATGCCCCCACTTATACACATGCATAATGCACATGCACTCGTCATAACACATGCACATGCCCACTCATACACATGCACATACACACTCACATTTATGCACATACACACATACACATGCACACTCACATTTATGCACATGCATACTCACATTTATGCACATGCATACTCACATTTATGCACATGCATACTCACATTTATGCACATGCATACTCACATTTATGCACATGCATACTCACACCATGCATACTCACATTATGCACATGCATACTCAAATTTATGCATTGCACACTCACACTCATGCACATGCACCACATGCACATGCACTCACACTCACACCGCATGCACATGCACACTCACCCCCTCCCCCATCTGTTTATCCCTCTCTTTCCTCTCACCTCCCCCCTCTTCCTTCTCTCTCTCTCTCTTCCCCTCCCTCCCTTCATCTCTCTCTCTCTCTCTCCCTCCCCTCCCTCCCCCCCTCCCTCCCTCTCTCCTCTCCTCCCTCTCTCTTCTCTCCTCCTCCCCTCCTCCCTCTCTCCTCTCTCCTCCTCCCCCCTTCCTCCCTCCCTCTCTCTCCTCTCCCCCTCCCACCTCCCCCTCTCCCCCCTCCCTCCCTCTCCTGTCTCTCTCCCGCCCCCTCCCCCTCCCCTCCCCTCTTTCCCCGGAGTTTCTGAGCTCCCCTCTCTCTCATCCATCTCCTTCCCTCCTTTGTTCCTCCTCTCACGTTCTCCCCCCCTCTCCCTCTTCCTCCTCTCCCTCCCTCTCCGTCTCCCTTGCCCTCTCCCTCCCCTCTCCCTCCACCCCTCTCCTTCCTCCCTCCCCTTTTCTCCTCTCTCCCCTCCCTCTTCCTCCCTCTCTCCCTCTTCCCTCCCCTCCCCCTTCCTTTCCCCTTCTCCCTCTCTCCCCTCCCCCCCCTCCCCTCCCTCCCTCTCCCTCTCACTCCCTCCCTCCCCTCTCCCCTTCCCTCCCCTTCCCCTTCACCTCCCCCTCTCCCTCTCCTTCGCCCCTCCCCCTCCCTTCCCTCTCCCTTTCTCTCCCCTCCCCCTCCCCCTCCCCCTCCCTGCTCCCTGCCCTTCACCTCGCCAGCTCCCCCTCTCCCTCCCTCTCCTTCCCCTCCCCCTTCCCGCCCCCCTTCACCTCCAGCCTCCCCCTTCACCTCCAGCTCCCCCTTCACCTCCCCCTCCCCCTTCACCCCGCCCCCCCTTCACCTCCCGCTCCCCTTCACCGTCTGCCCCCCTTCCACCTCCCCTCCCCCTTCATCTCCCCATCACCTACCTTCCCCCTCCCCCTTACCCCCCCCTCCCCCTCAGCCCCTCCCCCCCTCCCCCTTCACCTCCCCCTCCCCCTTCACCTCCCCCTCTCCCTTCACCTCCCCTCTCTCCCTTCACCTCCCCCTCTCCCTTCACCTCCCCCTCTTCCCTACACCTCCCCCTCCCTCCCTTCACCTCCCCCTCTCCCTTCACCTCCCCCTCTCCTCTCTCTCTCTCCTTCTCCCGTCCCTCCCCCTCCACTTCCCCCTCCCCCTCCCTTCCTCTCCCTCTCTCCCTCTCCCACCCTTTGATGCATATCTAATCTATATCTTGATCCTCTTTTTCCTCACTTTTTGCACCGCCTAGACTGGTGAAGACATTCTTTCTCAAATCTTTTCACCGCCCCTCCTTTTTCCCTCGTGTCTCCATCTTCCTCCCATATCCTTTTTTTTTCCACAGACCCCCTTCTCTTCATCTCTTCATTCCAAGGACACATGAAGTTGTACTGGCTCTAGAGGTGGGGGAAGGGTGCAGAACAGGGGCTAGTGAGTGCAAACAAGGGTTCATGCCCCACACACATCCGCCCAGCCACCTGGCCCTGACTTGACTGTCATCATTTTTGTTGGTCCTGGAGTACTGTGTGGTTGGTGCTTGGTAAGGTGTGCAGTGATTTTGAGAGGGTAATACGTGGGTTTATACATATATTGTGCAGACTGTTAAGAAATATTGTCTTGGCTGGAGTAGGATTATTAAGTGTGCATGTCAGCCTCAATGACTTGTTAGTGATTCTATGTTTCATATATTATTTGGTGTAATGGGCTTGGAGTTTGTGTGAATAAAAGACTGGATTTTACTATTAGAAACTTTAGATACCACAAAAGTTTTGTGTGCTCTAGCAGCAATTGCAAGTATGAAAGCAAATTATTCATTATGTATGTCCTTTAAAGAGTATGAGTGAGTCTTAGCATTGATATAGTATGCATATGGATATGTGTTCAATGCTAAAGGAAGAATGACTTG